AAGGTTGTCGAAATCGATGTTTTCAGCAATTTCGTTTTCAATTGACAAAGTTATTGCTAAGTTTGTCAATCTAGATTGAGAAATCGCTGATCGAAGATAGGTTTTTACCAGCTTCAGCTTTGAAAAGCTCCGCTCCCCACTAGCAACCGTTACAGGTATAATAATAAAATTCGCAATGATATCCATACATTTGGATACAGTTCTTTTAAGTTCAAATCGTTGATGAAATTTAAATCAAAAATGGGAGTAACTACATTTTTATCAGGTAAAAAGGATGCCAGACTTTTAAGTTCATCACACAACATACAACCATCTATGTCTGATTTAGAGTCTACAGTTAATTTTAATTAGAGATCACTACAGAGCTTGAGAAGGTCGCGTTTTTATGGAATCTGTTTAATATTGTACAAAAAAGACCAAGATTCCGAGTACTCATTTAACTGTTTGAACCTTTCATTGATTGAGATTAATATATTGTCCAAAAGTCAGTTGAAAAATTCAACCTCAATTTTTTTTTCTGGAGAAGTTATAGGGTCATCGCGTGCAATTTCACCAGCTTGACGCTTATTACGTCGAATTCTTATTGTAGCTCGAAATTCAGATTCAATTTCTAGTTCTTCGGCCAACTCCTTCGCAGTTAAAATAGCGCTTTTAAAGCCCGTATTTCTGTAGTCTTTCAAAAAATTGCAGCATTTTTTCAACATTTGAGAACATTTACCAAGATCCACATCTGTTGACTGTGGAGATTTACTTACAACATTTATTTGATGAAGTATGCCATACCAAACAACCAATGAAACTATGAAGCTGAAACCTTTTAGTTGTTCAGCTAGAGTAGTAGCATCATGAGATATTTGAACATCAGTTTTCTGAGTTTCAAGAGTCAAAGTAATCAAAGCATCATGCATAGTACTAATTTGATAACGGATTGTTTTAACACTACTTATTCTTGCTTACCAACGAGTGTCACTGTGCTTTTTTATAGTATATAGTCCCAAGTGATCGGTTAGAATTTTCCCTTGATGAACAGAAGCTGAGTGGTCTGAAATATCACCCTTCATAGCTAATCGCAAGAGCTCCTGCATGACTAGATCAAATTTGGCTAGTAGTTGTACTAACAATAAGCCTAAGAACTTTCCGTTATTTGGCGTATATAGTTTGTCAGAAGTGCTTCTGAACGCCGTATTGTTTTCGGCTAAATAAAAAGTGATATGCATAAATCTAGACAAAACATTATTCCATCTTGTAGTTTCCTTTCTAATCAAGTGTTGCTCTTGGCAGTCTATTGTTTTTCCTATTCTTAATCGTAGTTCAGCTTCAATCAATGAAAGGTAAAACTTCTTATGAAAAGTGCTATTTTCATGATTTTTTAATATTTCAGACAAGTACTTCCAGTTGTTATACCCTTGAGATATTAAGTTCGACGTTGAGCTACTATCAAATAGTCTACAACAAAAACAATAAACTCGATCCTTAGAAACGGAGTAAATTAACCAAAGGCGCTGAATTGTTTCATTGTTTGCAAGAATTTTTGTGAAATGAGAATTAGAGAAATGTCGGCCTGTATCATTCTTCGGATAATTATCAATGTGAGTTTGCACTGGGTCACTAGTAATTATGTGATCAATGATTTTGCCATTTCGAGTGACTGGCCAAGTGGCCAAGTTCGCTGACCAATGCGAATGAGCTGAGTTTGTTACGCTTCGCTACAATAACGCTAACTTTTTTTAACCAAAACGTTAAAAGGAGATAGACAATGTGTTTTGACAATAGACAAAAAACCGCCTAATTTAGGGAATTTACTAAGCAGACCTCGAACTATGAGCATCAGCCGGGGGGCGCCCGAGGCGCCCCTTTTTGCCGGCGCCCAGGGCGGTCGCCCACCTCGCCCTACCCTAAAGCCGGCACTGTATGTATATATATATATATATATATATATATATATATATATACGAGTATATATATATATGTATATGTGTGTATATGTGTATGTATATATATGTATATATGCGTAGGTTTATATGAGTGTACTTAGATATTTTTGCCTATATTTTTTAATTATTTATTTAATTCTAGTCTCTACTACCTTTCCTATCTTTTATATTTGGTTTGTTGTTAAGTGTTGCTGTTTGTTAATTTTCCTCTTATTGTATAGTTACTTTACCAATCCACATATATTATAATTACCTAGATATACTAATTTTCATACTGTTTTTAGATCCACTGATGATGACATTAAATTGAATGTCGAAACGTTTGGAAATAATGATTATTTTATAAATCTTTGGCTTTTCTTTGTTTGATGTATCGCCCTCAAGAACTCACTCACATATTTCAACATCAAAATTAACTACTAATTCATATATATATATATATATATATATATATATATATATATATAACCACTTAATATATTTTTTTACTGCTTGTGAATTTATTTTCAGCCTATTTGCAGCTTCGAGATATGCAGCATCATTATGTTTTCAATAATTCTTTTGAACCGCTTTTTCTAGGAAGTAGTTTTGCATTTTATATTGCATGAAATATTTGTTATTATATGTATTAATTTCATTTTAAATACACCAATGATTTTATTTTTATAACCTTTTATGTATAATATGTTATTATTAACTGTAGTTCACTAGTGTCATTCCAGTTTCACTAAATTTCACTAACTTTTTTGTAGTAATAATTTAGAACTTGCTTGGTAGATTATGTGTAATTTATATTTAAAATGGTGCTGATTTTAATATTATTATTATTTATGCTTTGATTTTATTATCGCTATCTTTGTATTAATAAAACATATTATTAGTAATGTATTATAACAAAATATAATGCTATTGTAATGCAAAATTTAAGTTTAAATAAAGGTTTATTAAGATTCAATAATTTTTTATTTCAAATTTTGCGCCAAGGATTTGTATGCATTATAAGCCTAGGTTTGCCGAATGATAAGTGATCGCAGCGTCATCTCATCTGAGCGGAGGACGACCCTTCAAGTTTCCCTTCTGAACGTAAAAATCGGGCGAGAGAAACGTCTATATGAACACGGGGTATTCTAATATTGTCTAGGCCGCTGACACTGCTTACATCTAATTACACGAACCACCAGTTATTTAATTATTATTCATTATATTATAATATTATAAATTTGAAGTTTTTATATAATCAATTGTAATTTTTAAGAATTAAAGTTTTTTTTGTTTTTTCTCGAATAACGAGAATAAAACTGGCGCAGTCGGTAGGATTTAATTCGGGATTGTCTAACGCAGATATCCATTGATTTCTATCACTTAGATTTCAGAACCACAAATATTAGAATTAGGTGGATTGATTTGGAAAAGTCTAACGCAGGATTTCCATTCAATTCGAATTAAAAAAATATAAAGTGATTGCAAGTAAAAGTAAAAAATTATTTGTGTGCAAAAAGTAAAATATATTAATTAATTGTTTTAAAACTGAAAAATATTGTGTGAAAAGAGCAAAGAGGATATTCGCCGAAGAACCCTGAACTGGTGAGTGAAAATGTTTATTTTTATAGTAAAATTGCCAATCCTCCCTTATCCTTCAATCGCTGAAGATAAGAAAGCAATTTTTACTGTTACTATTAATTAATTGAATAATTTATAAAAATCAGTTTTACTTTCTATTGAAACATAATTCCATGTACGAGAATTAGTTTATGGAAAATAGTACTGATTTAATAGAGAATTTATCGAATAATTTAGCAAATATGTCGATCCAAAATATTCCGAAATTTGACACAGCATTAATTGAGACTATTCCGAAATTTGGCGGAAACCCCGCAGAATTAAATTCATTTATTTTAAGAGTTCAGGAAATTAACAATAGGCACTATGGCAACAATAATCCAACTTGCATCCAAAACGAAATTATCAGAAGCGCTGTTCATTCCAAACTTTGCGATAGGGCAAAAGTAGTCATTGAAATTGCAAATGCTAGAGAAATTGACAATATTATTAGCGTGCTAATTTTCAAATTTTCAGACCAAAGAAATGATATTTCTTTGACATTCGACCTCCATAATATGCGACAACTTCCAAACGAAACAGTTTACCAATTTTATGCAAAGTTTGAAAATTTAATTAGTATTTACACAAAATATATTTGTCTACATGTCACGAATAAAAAAATTGCTCAGTATTTATGCAATAACTTTCAGTTTTTATTAGTTTAGTAGTTTTTATCGCGCACGTAAAACAACCGTATAGTTCGCTTCTAAGAGGTCGAGGAGTTTCATCATTAGAAGAAGCTATAAATATAATAGAAGAAGATGATAATATTAGCCAAGTTAGAAATGATACAGACCATTTTAAGCAAATTAATAGAAGAAATAATAAATCACCAAATTATCAAAGAACTAGAGTTAGTCTTGCATTTCCGAGAAACTTTAATTCAAATTATAATACAAACTACATGAAACAGCATCATTTCCACCCAGACAGCACGAGATGATCTATGGATCATCCCTAAACTATCCGCATGCGGACATTCTTCGTCCGCAGGACCATCCAACGGTACGTCCGGCTTGTCCAAGCCTTATCCCTGAACTGTAAATATGTCCGCCCCTAGAGATAGCCGCAGGATATCCCGCGCGGGATACTCCGTCCGTAAGTAGGATAGGAATAGGATAGGAATCGGACATGCATTGTACTTAATTCTGGGGCATTTTAATTCATACTTTCTAGCTAAAAATAATATTTTTACTTAAAATATAATAAGAAAGAGGTCATTTTTTGAAAAAAAGTTTATTTCTCAAAATTAGTTTATAAAATACAACTTTAATGAATTATAAATTATAAATATAATACTGCCTCAAAACTGCATTGCTTTTCTTAAACATAAAACAAATAATTAAAGCTGATCAACATTAAAACAAGTACACACATTACATTTATATATATATATATATATATATATATATATATTTATATATATATATATATACATGAATGAGTCAGAGCCAATACTTAGTTGTCTGCGAAATAACACTTTGTTAGGCATGAGCACAATTTTTAAAAACTCGATAATCTGTAATTAGTAGAAGATTGATTACATCTCACTAATAGCGAAACATATGTTCTTACAAAATACCTCTATCGATTTCTCGAGTCAGCTTGTCACAAAATTTGCACTTTCTTCTCGCTCCTGTCTGGATAATATCTTTAGTCAACTGCTCTCAAAAAATTCTGCATCTAGCATTGAAATAAATATCTTATTATTACTAATTTGTATATCAAAACTCTAATATTTGGGTATAATATAATACAAATTATTTAATAATATATATACCATTTACTTTATTCACATATAATGAAGTACCACATTTTCTCGGTACTGATATCACTTATACAACAGCTTCCTCGGTGAATGTAATCAGTCATAGGTGATGGAACTGACAAAATAAAGCATTGATTCTTACTCTGATTACATGATGAGAGTATAACGTTTGCTTATTCCTTTCATCATATTTATTCACTCATATGGGATTCATATATTTCTTCATTGTTGTTTGCTTCATCGAACAATAAGTGCATCTCCGCTTCTGTCAGACTTCTCGACTGTGCTATAATGATTTCAATATATAATACATATATATTATAAGCATTTACATTTATTTAATTTGATTGAATAATTATGATTTATATGTAAATTTAAACTCACCATAAGAAGCCAAAATTCTGGAACTGAAGAACATTTTTTTGACACTCAGACACTTTTATTTTTTCTGCTTCTTTTATCCGTTTCCAATGGGGTCCAAAGAGCTAACTTTTTAGAAAACGTAATCCAATATCATTGAAGATATTAATGAAATCACTAAATCTTACCACGCGAAAATTTTAACCTCATTTTTACTAAAAGAAAACTCATAATTAGTAAAATGTTAACATTTTTACTATATTACAATTGAAGTTATAATATTCATACTTACAGTGCATTTATCCCGTAATATTATATATTAATTAAGATAAAAATATATTTCGGCGTCTGTGACATGTCTGTGAAAAAGCCTTACAACAATAAACTTAACCTAAAACTAAAGTGTTTGAAGGAAACACTAGCGCCGATGGTCACACAACATGAACTATTAGCAACGCGCTAAAGGGAGAGGGACATTCATCCTTCGCCACTGTCCCATCTTGCGCATAAGCAAGCTGGTCCATGGAAATTATTTTGGTGGAAATTTTTAGGTTGAAAGTATGCGGGTTGGGATATTTGTGGATTGTGGAAACGTGCACCAATTAAAACCAATTAATTTCCAACCAAACAACTTCCCATCAAATAACGTTCAATCAAACAATTTCCAACCAACAAACAGTTTTCAACCCAATCAAATGACCCACAAACCCAATAATTTTCAACAAAATTTTCAATTCCCAAATCAGACAAATAATACAACGAAAAAATCTGACTGGACACCCATGAGTGGCGTTTCTACAATTACCTCTAGAAACAGCAGACGAACTAATAGACCGCAAAACCGACTTTACAATCTAGAAAATATGGACACTGAACAAGAATCATATCCCGACCAGCTACAGATGGATTTTCAAACAACCAACGAAGAACCGAATCAGACATAATCGAATTTCACGGCTTTCAGAACAAATTCCTCCCATATATACAAATCCACAATCAAAATATAAAATTTCTCATTGATTCAGGCTCCACAAAATCTTTCATTTGTCCAGAAATTGCTAACAAATATTTCAAAAATTTTATTTACTCCGACCCTTGCACAATAAAAACCGCATTAGCAACACATAAAGAAAATTTTGCAAGTAATATTCCAAGTTTAACGAATTCAAAAGTAACGAAAACCTATCATTCCACCTTTTTAAATTTTATGAAACCTTCAATGGGTTATTAGGAATTGATAACCATAAAAAATTGAAGGCATTAATTGGTTTAAATAAATGGGTTGTTAGTGTTACTTAATACTAATTTAAACTTACATTATTTAAAAAGTCCGGCAAAAATACTTTTTAATCAACAGATATCAGAAATATGCATTCAAAAATGCAAAATCCCTGTTAACATTAAAGAAGGTGAAATTCCTATTACAAGGCAAAATTTTCCTAATTGCTTCATTCCAGATACCGTAACATGAGCAAAAAATAATGAAGCCATAGTTGAAATTCATAACCTAACAGAAGACGAAATTAACTTAACATTAACCAAATCTTTACAAGTAGAACTCACAAATGAAATAGAATTTTATAATTTTTGTACAGACAAATCTGACTCAAATATAGATTTCTCGGATATTGAAAACCTAATACGGATTAACCACACGAAGTTCGAAGAGCAAAATGCTATTTTAAGAATTTGCAAGAAATACATAGACACTTTTCGTAGACCAGATGACAAACTGACTTTCACAAACCAGGTTAAACATAAGATACGCACAACCGACGAATCTGTCTACACCAAATCCTATAGATACCCAATAATCCACAGAGAAGAAGTCCAACGCCAAATTAACAAAATGCTTGACCAACAGATTATTAGACATAGCAATTCACCCTGGTCCTCTCCCATTTGGGTTGTTCCCAAAAATCTTGACGCATCCGGGAAACGTAAATGGAGAATAGTTGTTGATTACCGTAAAGTCAACGACAAGACAATGACAAATACCCTCTTCCAAATATTTCAGATGTCCTAGACAAACTAGGTAGATGTTATTATTTCTCAACTATTGATTTAGCTTCTGGATTTCACCAGATTGAAATGCACGAAGACGATATTGAAAAAACAGCTTTCAGTACAGATGACAGACATTACCAATATTTACGCCTGCCTTTTGGTTTGAAGAATTCCCCAGCCACCTTCCCACGTGTAATAAACAATATTCTTAGAGATTATATTGGCAAAATTTGTTTAGTTTATTTTGATGATATAATAATTTATTCAGTATCACTTAGTGAACATATAGATAGTTTGACTAAAATATTTCAAAAACTCCGAGAAACCAATTTTAAAATTCAGCCAGATAAATCTGAATTTCTCAAAAAAGAAACAGCATTTTTAGGCCATATCATTACACCAGACGGAATCAATAAATTGGATAAAATCCAAGCTATCCTAAATTTTCCAATACCCAAAGCTCCAAAACAAATTAAAGGTTTCCTTGGACTATTAGGTTATTTCCGGTGGTTTCATAAAAGATTTAGCTAAATTAACTAAACCTTTCACAAAATGTTTGAAAAAAGATGCAAAAACCTCTGAGTACATACATGTTTTGAAACCTGTAAAAATTTAATAAATGACCCCATTTTGCAATATCTCGATTTTTCCAAACCTTTCATTTTTACAACTGATGCTAGCCAATTTGCTATTGGTGTCGTTTTGTCCCAAAGTGAAATAGGAAAAGATAAACCGATTGCATATGCCTCAAGAAAAGTGAGCGATTCTAAAATAAAGTATAGTACTATTGAGGTTTCAACTAGAAGAATTCGATTATGAAATTTGTTATAAAAAGATTTGTTATAAGAAGATTTGTTATAAAAATAGGAAAAGATAAACCGATTGCATATGCCTCAAGAAAAGTGAGCGATTCCAAAATAAAGTATAGTACTATGGAGGTTTCAACTAGAAGAATTCGATTATGAAATTTGTTATAAAAAGATTCCTTAAATACTAATGCAGATTCTCTTTACCGCATTAAATTAGATAATGATAACGACGAATCAAATTTTAATAAAATTATTGATTTTGGCACCGATATGCAGTCAATTATAGCGCAAGCCGATTTTCTGAATTACCAGATGTAGATAAATTAGATTCAATTGTAAATGAAATACTTCCCGAACAAGTTCCAGATGATATTAATGTAGATGATAATAATACAGAGTCCACACGTCACACGAAAATCTTATTATAGAAATCCCTATCTTTTCAAAACCAATAAATCATTATGATAATCAAATTTTTATTAAAATTGTAGATACACTTTCAAGCAAACCAAAAACACAGAAAATATTTAATAAAAATAGATTAATAGTTGAAATAAATCGAAGAGAAATATCAAAAGAATTGATTAATATTTTTAAAGCATATACCACTAGTAATAAGTCTTTTGCGTTGTATGTCAACGATAGCAAATATATTGCTGACATTACGAACATTTTAACTTCTACTGTCATACATTCAGCATTTAAATTAGTTATATGTAATGATTTTAAAGAAGACATTATTGATGTAAATAAACAAATATTAGGTTGTCAAATATCTCCCTTCCTCTTTTGAATAAAGAGCAAAAAAGCAGAAGGGAGATATTTGACAACCTAATATTAATAGTAAAAACAATTCACGAAAATTGTTCTAATCATCGAGGAATTAACGAGAACGAATCACGTATTAGACAAAAATATTATTGGCCAACAATACGTAATGATATTAGTACTTATATTAATAATTGTACATTATGTTCTACTGAAAACTGAAACTGAATTAATAAATGTACATTATGTTCAACTGAAATATATGATAGACATCCACCAAAACAATTTTTTTTCTTTTTTCCCTACAGCTTCGAAACCATTTTAAATCCTACATTTAGACATTCCTACAATTAGTAAACAAAAACTTGTCACTATCATCGATACATTTTCTAAATATGCGCAAGCATATCCTATTGCTTCTGATATAACGCAAAATATAGTTAGAGTTCTAATGTTATTTATTTCTCATTTTGATGTTCCTGATACTTTAATTATGGACAATGGTCCTGATCTAAAATCTTCAGCCTCACAAGAATACGTATTTTAAAATGGATAAAATTAATATCCACTACATAACTCCTTTACATTCAAATTCAAATGGACCTATTGAACGATTTCATTCTACCATTCTAGAACATATACGTATTCTCAAATGCGAAAATAATAATCTTAGTATCCTTGACATTATCCCTTATGCTATTAATGGTTATAATAGTTCTATACATTCAGTGACAAAATTAAAACCATTTGGCATTATTTCAGGTTATCTCTCTACGAGATCTCCTTTTGACATAGACTTAAAAACAGAAATTATTTAGAAGAACACAAACAACGAACAAAGTTAATGTATGAAAAAATTTTTGAAAAAAATTATAGCAACAAAGACAAAACTATATCGAAACATAACGGAACAAGACATGATCCATTGCAATACGACGAAAACACACGTGCATATTCAAAATCAAACCCGCGAGACAAAACCGCTTCACGTTACAAACAAATACAAGTACAGGAAATACAATTCTTACTGTCAAGAATATTACGATACACAAACAAGAACTCAAACGACCAAAAACTAATACTCAGCAAATTCCACGTGAACAAAATGTTGTTCTTTCAACTAATGATGTTGCACCTGGTACTAGTAGTGAACATTGATCAAATTTTTCTTCAAGAATTGAATACCACTGGAATTTTACCATTCGAACTAGAAAATGCAAAGCCGATCGAAATTAATTAAAGAACAAATTACTAATTTAATTACAGACTTTGATACACTTTTATCTATTTTGTGTAAAAAACATAACGATTATTTGAAAAGATTAGATTCATACATTTCTTTGACCAAAACCATGATTAATGTTATCAAAGATAAATACAATATTATTAGACCTATTAGAAAAATTAAAAGAGGACTTATTAACGGACTAGGTAGCATGATTAAGGCAATTACAGGAAATTTAGACGCACATGATGCCAAAAAGACGATGGCGCCATACGTATATTAGAAACTAACGATGATTATTATGCAAAAACATTGCATAAACAAATGACACTAAATAATAGGTTAATTGAATATTTTAACGAAACGATTGTTAATATTAGAGAAAATGATGAAATATTAAATAAGAAATTGAATGATATCAATGATTATCTTAAATTCGGTAGTTTTAGTCATAATGAATATTTTATAGCTAAGGATAGTTTAGAAGAAATTAATTATAGTTTAGCTATATTGACAAATATTTTAAGTGACTTAGAAATATCAATGGATTTAGCTAGAATGAATTTAATTCATAATTCAATAATAAAATTAGATTATCTGAATTTTATGATTAATACTATA